GAAATTGCATTTTAAATAATTAATTACTTTATGATATATATATATATATATATATATATATATATCATATTAAGTTTTGTAACTAAAAATTGGATCTAAATTTTACAAGTAAGATAATTGACCTACTAATTATTACAAGTACTCCTCAAGTCATAATTTATAACAAGGTTTATCAAAATATTACAAATTCTAAATCTGACATTAAAATAATTACATATTCAATGAATAATTTAAATCCTAATAGAGTAAATCCTTTCTTACAACACAACTAACAATAATTTGAATTAAATCTTCAACGAATCTCATTTTGCTTCCTGATTTTATTTCTTGAAAATATTTATGAAGGTGACGATTCTCTACTCCACTAAACTTTTATTTTATAAAATAATCAATTAATACAAAACATTATCTAATATAATATGTATCAAAATAAGAACCACTCATTTATAAAATTTCATCCAAAAGTCATCAAGACACAAAATTTTACATTCAGCTAAATCCAATTATATAATTCTCGAATTCATGTCATTTTACTCATTTCAATTCTAATGGATCCATCAATTATCAGTACTCTCGGTAGTACTCAGAGGCCCCAAATTGCTGCTAACATGCTCTTCCTAGTCATGAAAGACTTATGCCAGCATGGATAGTCAAAGTTTAGCCACTGCACACGGATATAACGTGTACATTATACGACCCTCATAGAAAAGGTATAGTTAAGAGATTAGTCAACGGTTAGTCACTGCACACGGATACAACGTGTACATTATACGACTTTCATAGCAAAGGTATAGTTAGGAGATTAGTCAGAAAATGAATGTGAAGCCTATGATATTTTCGCTTATATCGTGTACATATACACAAAAACATTTACTACCCTTATTTTCTCCAGATTTCCAAAATTGACTCCGAACTCTATAACTAGCCTCCAATGTATTTCTCTGTAATTATCTATACAGAAAGTTAACAATGACAACTTGTACTAAAACTTATCCATATAGAAACTCAACAGTAACAACTTCCACTAATAGAGTGACACTTTCTACTAAAATGTATCCATATATAAACTTAACAATGATAATCTATACTAAATTCTTTTATTCCACATATATTCGTCACCCTTTCATAACATACGTCCCTTTAGATATTCTTTCCCTTTTTGGTGACATAAACAATTTAAAATCCACACACATAAACATGTTCACACTTTTTTTTCACATGCAATCAATTTCATACCTTTTTCATAAATTCAAACTATCATATTATACTAATCAATTCTATATACCAAAGGTCGGACACCTTTAGACTCAACTTAATCATACATTTTATAATATACAAAAAAATAAACTGCAGATACATTACCAAAGATCACATTCTTCCATTCTTAATAAAATCACTTATCTTAAAGTTTTAGCCTTTTCGAGTACATATATTGTTCAAAAACAATAATTCACAATATTAACTGTACATACATAACGATAATTATCAAAAATCATAAAAAATTCTTAAAACTCATTTACTCATAACTTTTACCACAATTTTATCCAGGTAATTTCTGAAACAAATCATAGGTTTTTTATATTCTAAGAATCCATTTTTAACATTGTAGTTTCTAGAAAACCTTAGGGCTTTACTAATCAAAACAAAGTAGTTTGAGTTTTCTAAATCAAAATATATAAATAGGACTTAAGGTTTAGAATTAACTCTCCTTACCTGTAAATAGTTCTTTCACAGCGAAGAGATGAAAGACAACTTCTCTAAGATCAAGTTCTTCTTAAGATTCAAAGGAAAGATACAATAATTTTTATGGAAGATATTGTCCAAAGGACCAAAGTTCTCCCTGAGCATTACAAAGTAGAACATAACTTTTGAGTAGAAGAAAAATAACAAAATAAAAGTGAAATTGGGAGATTGAGCTCTAATAAATTACTTGGAATCAAGTAGAACAGACGTCCAAGTTCAGATTTGAAAGAGTTTAAAAGTTTAAAAGGGATTTTCTTTGAGAAAGGAAGTGGGAAAATAGAAAATGATAAGAGAAAGAGTTACTAACTAGGTGTTCTAAGTTTTAAAACATTAAAGCTATTTATATACTATTTTCACTCGCAACTTTTTGCTTGAGCGAGTGGATTCTCACTTGAGTGAGCCTCATTCTTACCTGTAGTGAGAACATCAAACAAAAATTTACACATGTCCTCTAATAATCTCACCTGAGTGAGATGCCTTCTCGCTTGGGCGAGATTTGGTCCAAGAAGCTATTCATTTTCCTGTGTCTTCTTGCCTGGGCAAGAGGAAATTTGGGGCGATCTTACCTATTTTTCCCTGAGCGAGACTCATCTTACTTGGCCGAGAATGCCCTGAAACATGTGTTTTCGAAAGCTTAGTCTCACTTTGAGCGAGATCCCCGACAGTTCCAAAAATTTAACTTTTTCTATTTTTTTAAAAGTGCAATAATAATTAAAATAAATATACTATAATAAGATGAGAGTATTACATTTTACAATCTCATCATCACCTACAATGATGATATAATCGATATAAACTAGTATAAATGTTAGTTTGCCATTTTGTGAGTGTTTTATTAAAAGAGTATGATCTTCTTAGCTTTGCTTGTATCATAGTTTGAGTAAATCTCTGAAACCAAGCATGAGGAGATTGCTTTAGCCTTTATAGGGGTTTCTTCAATCTGCCACTTTGTTTCCACCATCAATGGTCCTAAATCCTAAGATAATATCTATATATACTTCCTTTGAGTATCCATGCAAGAATGCATGCATTTTTTACATCAAACATATGTAAGATCCAACCAAAGTATGCTTGTTGTTAATGAAAAGGATAGTTCTCATAGTATTCATTCTTGTCAGTGGTGTAATGTCTCATCATAGTCAAATCCATCAGTCTGAGTGTATCTTTTAGCAATTAATTTTCCCTTATACTAATTTGGCCTTATACTAATCAAAGGTACCATTTGATCGATATTTAAATGTGTAGGGTCATTCTACAATCTCCTAAGTGGTATTTGTTTCCAATGCACTTATCTCCTTATTCTTACTTGAACCCGATTCTTATCTTTTAAGGCTTCCTATACTGACTTAGAGATATTTGAAGAATCAATAGCAAAGACAAAACTTTGATGTTGTACATATAGATGCTTAGTGGATATAAACTAAGAAATATGATTCTTGACATAAAAAGGTTTTTCTTTTTGTAAAGCAATGGACATATCATATACATTAGAATCAAAATTGTTTAAAGGAATATTTAATAACTCAAGATTAATGGTACTATAACTTACCTTTAATTTGATTGGCTAAAGTTATCGTTAGATCAAATTGGGTTTTCTTCTCCTCAAGATAGGTGTACTTGCTTTTATTTGCAATTCATCACATTCTTTTTTGTTTGAGTTAGAGGAAAGAGGAGTAAATTTCTATAGATGATACAGGTTAAGAGGAAGAAAAGACAAATATTCATATGGACAACTAGACTCAACCTTATGATGACACTCCTCCTAAAGTTGAATAAGTGACTAAAATAATTGTCTTATTAAAGGTAACATCTATAGGAATGTAGATTCAATCTCGAAGGATGATTACATGTACAATATTTTTTATTTGGAATATACACTATGAAAATACACTTAACAACGTAAGGATTTAAATTGCTACAATGTTGACTTTTATGAAACAAAAGTAGTACAACTAAAAACATGAACCTTGAGGTTGTTTGGGACATGAACAAAAATATGAAAGGTAGACATGGACTAAACAAGACTAAAGCTATTCAAAATATGGCATGACAACCTGTTGATAAGTAAAAATTTATTAAAATTCTTCTTCTAAGTATGATTTTGGCATTGTCATATGAAATAACATAGTTTTGATAACTTCCAAGAGATCAAATTTTTTTTCTACAACTTCATTTTGTTGAGGAGTATTTGCACATCAAGTCATGAAAAACACTTTTTTTCTTGTAGAAATTGAAATAAATTTTATTTCACACATGCTCCTTCATTATCTACCCGTTTGAATGAAGTGATAAAAATTTACAAATAGTTGAGTCACTTCTATTTTATCCTTTATAAAAAGGATCCATATATAAGTGTATAATCATCAATAAATGATACAAAGCATTAAGCACTATAAAAACTTAAAAATTGGAGCAGGTCCCTATACATCAAAATGGATAGATTGAAAGGTGCATTACTTTTTTTAGAACTATTTAGAAAAGTAACACAATAATGTTTAACAAACTGACAAACATCAGATTAAGAAAACTCAACTGATTCTTTCAAAAATAAAGAAGGAAAAATACTTATTCAATCTAAAAGGTAGATGACCTAAATAGTTACATTGAATACATATTTGAGAATAATCATACTTAGAAGAAGACTAGTTACAAAAATTGAGTCTTCCTCTTCTAAAATTATTTTGGACTTTAGTTTTCACTAATGGAAAGTAATATAACCATCTCTGTCCCTAAGAAATTCCAATCGTCCTCCCTAAGGCAAAATCCTAAAAAACATAATGAGATGAAAAAAAAAATGTTACTACATAATTTAGATACCATAACTAAGAATGGAAATTTTTAAAACCATTAGCAATTATAATGTAATGTGTACTAGATAAAGTGGAATGAGAAGTAAAAGAAGAATTATTATGAGTCATGTGATTGGAAGCATGAGAGTCAATTATGCAAAAATCTCCGAATACAAAACATGAGGCATTAAAAGAAGATAAATCAGAATTCTTACCAATCATGGTAAGAGACACATGAGTCATCTATGGTGAAAAAACACTGTGTTTTAATAGAGAACTTATAAAGGTTGAAGAAATAATCACTCAAACCAATAGTGTTTGTAGAAAGGCAAATAACGGTTAAGAAGGCAACATGCGGCTTTCATGTGATGACAAGAGCTTTCATGTAATAGTGATGATGGTGGTGGTGGTAATTGAGATAGAGGGAAAAAATGTCTAAGCATGTGCAAACATATGTTGTAATCAGGGATGGGAATGGGTCTGGCTAGGTCAAGCCTAAGGTTAAATGGGTCTAGCCTAATATACAAAACTAGAATCTAAGCCACATTTTTAGGCTTGGACTAGCCTTTTTAAAAAGTCTGACTTGGCCTAACAACCTATTTAATATTAAGGCCTTCAAATAACACTAACAATTTAAATTTAACATGCCAATGGGCCTACAGTCAAAAGGCTAGTTAGTCGAAAGACCTACTATTAATAAAATGAAAAAAATATGATATGTACTTATATTTAAATACTATGCTTAATAAAAAATATATATACATAAATGACTTCACAAATATCATATTTCAACATGACCATGTTCACTAACTCCAAAAAATTTCATATCTCAAATAATCCAAAAACTAATAAAAGGTAATATGTCTATATCATGTAATCTCAAATACCAAGCTAACAATTAAGATATTTATGACGAAAAGAAAATCAAAAGTAAAACTAGAACTTAGAACACAACAAATAATTGCCAATTGTTAAGAAGTTTAAAAGTATTTGAATTAAAAAGACTATATAGGAATTAAAAATAAATGAATTCTAATAATAGATTGAGATATTTTAGAAATCAGACAAAATTTTAATTAATATTTTTTTACAATAAATTTTAATTTTGGTAGTCTAATAGTATAAATATAATTATTATATTATTATAATATAAATACTAAACTATATTATATTATATATATATATATATATATATAATTTTTTTGGACAGACCTAAATTTTTTTTTTTTTTAAGTTTAAGTTTAACCTCTTTTTTTAAATATTCCTTTTCAAAAGTTTAAGCTAGAGTTTTTTTAATAAACGGGCTGAGTTAGACTAAACTTAAATAGACAAAACCATAAACTCCCAACGTATGGCTTGACCCATTCCTATCCCTAAATGTAATAAACACAACTACTAGAGTTTGGATACTAGGTAGCTAGGATTTGGGTGTGCAAAAGCAAAGACTACTTGGATCAAAGTTTTTAATACAAACTTAAAATTCTAAATTATATATTATCATTATACATTATAATTTTACTTGTATGTATACGAGTCTAAGATTAATATTTACATAAAATAATATTTTAAATTATCTTTTGATAATTATAAAGATAATAACAAAAAATAATCATAATATTTATATTCTAGATTATCTTCTAATAATAATAATAGAGATAATGACAATAACTAATAATTAGGAGATATTTTCAATATATACACGTGTCCTTATTTTATATTTTTTAATTAATCATAGTATTTATATTTTGTATTGATTATTTATAATTTTCAAATATAATTTTTATATATGAATATTAAAAATATCAAATGATATTACACCATTAAAAATAAAAATTCAATGCAATTGTAAAAATATAAAAACAAGAATAAATTATATTAACCAAATAAAGTAATAGATATTAGAATTTGGATAAATTATAGAAGTAAAAGTATTTACATATATTTAAAAATAAATTAAATAAAATATTTTTTTTAAGAAGTATAACATATAAAACTATATTTTGTTCATATTTTCTTAAAAGTAATTAATCATTAATTTTACATTTAATTATAATTAATCAATTTTAAATTAATTATTAATTTTATATTTAATTCATTAAAATGACAATTATAATTAATTTTATATTTTGTCAAGAAAATTTATTCTTTAATGAACTTTATTTTATTTATTCTTGTATAATGTTCCATCATGTATGATTTATAAAATAATGAATTATCTTTTTGTATGATTCCTTTAAAAATTTTAAAATAAGAAAATAATAATGTAGACATCTCATTCACAGGTTGGCGTCCGCAGATTTTCTTGAATTTGGATATGATGTGAAAAAAGAGTTGGAAGTGCTTAAGAAGACAATTGAATCTATCAATGATGTGCTCTTTGATGCTGATCACAAACAAGATCAAGTTCGTGTGCGTAATTGGATATCTGACTTCAAGTAAGTACTCCATGCTGCAGATGACCTCTTAGATGACCTTGCTATCGAATTTAGGAGAGACAAATTGGGTGCAGCCGAAGGAAAAGAAGTAAACAGGGTACTTCGTTCCATTTCATCTTCAAATCAACTTCCTTCATACAATGAAATGCCTGACAAAATTAAAGAAATACGAGAAAATTTTAAGGGTGTAGTAAAAGAAATGAAGGATTTGAATTTAAGCCCAAGTTCTATGCTGGTTAAGCAAACTGATAGTGAATGCAGGGAAACATGTTCTTTTGTGTTAGAATCTGATATCATTGGAAGAGATGACAGTAGAAAGGAGATTATTAGTCTGTTGAGACAACCTCATGAAAACCAAAAACTTTCTTAGATTGCCGTTGTTGGCCTTGGTGGTTTGGGGAAGACAGCTCTTGCACAATTGGTGTATAATGACTTGGAAGTGCAGACTTTTTTTGATATGCAAATATGGGTGTTTGTCTCTGATAACTTTGATGTTAAAACTATTCTGAAGAAAATATTTGAATCAATTACTGATGGCCAAAGACAAGACCAATCATTAGAGAAGTTGCAAAGAGAGCTTCGTAGAAGTTTAAGTGGAAAGAAATATTTGTTGGTCTTGGACGACATTTGGAATGAGAGTCATAAAAAGTGGGCTGAATTGAGAAAGTACCTGATGTGTGGCGTTCAAGATAGCAAGATTTTAGTGACAACTCGAAGTGAAAATGTAGCAAAGGCAATGACTGCCAGCACTTCCTATCTTTTAGAAGGTTTGACTGATGAAGCATCTTGGAGTTTGTTGAAGAACATTGCTTTTGGAGATGGTTCCAAAGGAGTGAATCAAAATCTAGAATCAATGGGGAAAGAAATAGCCAAAAAATGCAAAGGGGTTCCACTAGCAGTTAAAACACTCGGAGGCCTGTTGCGAGGACAAAACGAAGAAAGTGAATGGGAGAATGTTTTACGCGGTGACTTCTGGAAATTATGTGAGGAGGAAGGTAGTGTTATGCCAATTCTAAAACTCAGTTACCACAACTTGTCGTCAGACATGAGACAATGTTTTGCTTATTGCTCATTATATCCCAAGGATACAGAAATTCCAAAGGATGAGTTGATTAAGTCATGGATGGCACAGGGTTACCTTAATTGTTCAATTGAAAAACAGCAGATGGAGGATGTCGGTAATCAATTTGTAAAGATGTTTTTGATGAACTCATTTTTTCAAGATGCAGAAAGTAATGACGATGGTGAGATCATTAGCTTCAAAATGCATGATTTAATTCATGATCTTGCAATCCTTGTTTCTGGCAATGATTGCTCTTACTTGGATAGTAATGCGGAAAAAGTTGAAGGTAGACCCATGCACGTATCATTGGAATCTTTTGAGGCCATTCATTTGTTGAAATCGTTAGATCAGAGCAGGCTGCGAACTTTGATCTTGCCGAATGACTTTTTCGAAGACGAGGAAGATTTGTCGGTAATTGCAAAGTTCAAATACTTACGCGTCTTGAGGATGTCATCTTTTTCCTTCTACAAATTGTTTGATTCAATTGGAAAATTGAAGCATTTAAGATACCTTGACATCACTAGTTATCACTTGTTGAGTGGGATGCCATTTAGGTTGGGAAAGTTGTACTCGTTGCAATTCTTATCAATATTTGCTGTGGGAGACAGCCAAGAAAGAAAATATGGCACATTAAATGAATTGAAAGACTTAAACCTAAGAGGAGAATTAATAATTCAGCATCTCGATCGTGTGGGAGACGTGGATCTGGAATCACATCATGTAAATTTAAAAGAAAAAAAAAATTCCTTCATTCCTTGACTCTGGATTGGTGGTCTATAGGCATCATCGGTAACAGTTTACAATTATTAGAAAACCTTGAGCCCCACCATAGTCTTAAGCGATTGAAGGTGTGTTGTTATCCAGGCATGCGTTTCCCAGATTGGCTTTCTCTCCTCACAAATGTTGTTGACATTCATCTCTCTTATCTTTGTAATTGTCGGTGTCTCCCACCGTTGGAACGTCTCCCGTCCCTGAAGTCACTTGTGATAGAGGAGTTTAGTGAATTGGAATACATATATCTCTGCGAAGATGGTTTTGTAGTAACCTTCTTCCCCTCTCTAGGGAGCCTCACATTAGAGAATTGTCCTGAGCTTATGGGATGGCGGAGTCGGGGAGATGATATCAATGATTCACATAATCTCTCCTCTTCTCTTTCATTTCCTCATCTTTCTCAACTACATGTCTCTTATTTCCACAGTTGACTTGCATGCCTACTTTTCCAAACGTGAAGGATTTAAATGGTATCATAACAGTGCGGAGCCATTAAAACGAACACTAAACTCATCTTCCTCCGCTGCTCCTCTTTCCATGGTCAAACAATTGACGATTTCTGATCATATGAATTTCCCAAAGGGTTGGATGCAAAATCTGACTCCTCTCGAGTCTCTTCAAATTCAATGGTGTAAAAGTGAAACACTTGAGGAAGTTGGAACTTGGTTTAAGGACGACACCAACTGCCTTCCGTCTCTGCGAAAAATCAGCATATCTAAGTGTTTAGGGCTAAAGGCTTTGCCAGATTGGATTTGCAACCTCTCATCGCTTCAGGAGATCTCATTGTTTTTGTGTCCAAATTTGGCATCGCTGCCCGAAAGAATGAGTGGTCTTACCAACTTAAAGATCTTTTGAGGTTGAGAGCTGTTCCCTCTTCAATAAGGAATGCAGAACAGAGACAAGTTCTGTTAGGGGCCAAATCGCACACATCCCACAAATTATTCTTGAAGATTAATTCATCATGAAGGTACTGATCTGATGTGTATTTATTTAGTGTAAACGTCGTGTACTGTATTTGCTTTGCTAATAAAATACTTTCAACTAGTTTTTGAGTTATTGTTCATTTGTTTCAAAGATAAATACAAATTATCCTAATAATACTAATTTTTAATTGTTAAACTATATCAGAGTCTTAATCGTCATATATATAATACCAATAAGTTTTTTTTATTTGTAGCGATATTATTACAAAAATATAATTTTAAATTAAAAAATTTAAATATTATATCATTTAATAAATTTTATAAATAAATATTTAATTATTAATAATAAATATTTTAGTATACTAATAAGATTAAATTAAAGAAAGATAATTATAAAATTTTTGTTAAAAATTTATTTATTTATGGAGTAAGATAATAAATTTTGTTACTTTATCAATTAATATTTTGTCTACATGCTTAAGTTTTGTTTATCATGCTTTTCATTACAGAATTTTAAATATATTTGCTAAAATAATAGACGCTAACAATTCTTTTTCTTTCTTTATTGCTTTTGTTGAAGTAGGTTGTCCCTTTTTAAGAATAGTTTAATGATTCGGTTGGTTAGAGATATATGAGCTTATGGGGCAACTTTACTGAATTTTCATATGTGAGTGCATTTATTGAGGTCGGTTATGGCATTATCTTGGCCATTACAGTAGGGTCAACACTTTCCAGAAGAAGCCATTAGAACTCAATTTTTTTCCTCAAAATTGACTTGGTGCTTGCTCGATGCAAGTTGAATTGTATATGCATTGAACTCATTTTCAAAATATTATGATTTCATAATTTTCTTAGAGAAGAAATTTATGAGGATAGTATTTAATTTCTTTTGCACTTTAGTAACAAATTTGTTTAACTGGTAATTATTTTAATTTATATGTTCAATATGTATCCATAATACTATCTAGCATACATTAAATTTGATATACGATTATAATTCTCCACCACAAGAAGTCCATTACTATTCTTTACAAGTTATTTTATATTTGAGATTGTAATTCTTTATAGGATTCTTTTTTACATTTTTGCAATTTTAAATTAGTCCTCTATTCTTTTCCGTATGAGAATAGATTTAGCACTTTACATGTACACAATTAATCATTTAATGTGATTAAGTACTACTTGACTAAGATACCAATCGGTATAAATCACGAGACATTGTTCTCTAATTACACTTATATCAAAATCCAATCAAAATGCTTAATGTTATGTATACTTTTTATTGACAATAACTATTTTGACTTGAAAGCAAGTAATTTTTACTTGATTCTCTTTCATTTTAATTTCTTATAAAACAATCAATCCACGTACCATTTCTTGCATATACTTGAAAAATACATGAACTCATTTAAAAATATATTATTTAGAGATGAATCAAGGAAGGTGAATTAATGATTATTTAAAATAATTTTATATTATTATGTTTAATTATTAAATTACTTTTATATTAAATTCAAAGTTAAGGAAAATTATTTTAATAACGTAGCTATGCAAAGAAAAATTGTTATTTAATTTTCTTTCACTTTTTAATCATATGAAATATCACGAGACCAACTTAAAAAGATAAATTAATTTATGGTTTTTTTAACATTATTTAGTCCCATTAATTAAGTGAATTTTTTTTGTGCAAGTAAGAGTGTCGTAATCTATGAGAAACTCATGATTTTTTATCTTCCAATTTGTTTTTATGCAATAATGTTATGTCGATAAAAAAAAGTGAAAAATAACTGTTTTCTTAATTTTTTAAGATGCTTTGATATTGAGTTTTGTTTTTTTCTTAAGATGCAAAAATAATATGTTATATTATTTCCAAGTGATGTTTATATTGATGGCTTGTGTGATAATTGTTATAATCAACTCTTGAATGCCTATTTTATTTGAAGACAAGATAAATTGCCACAATATAATAAAATATGTAAGAAGAATTGTTGGATTTATTAGAAAGTTTAATTTTAATTGGTTTGAGAATAATATTAAGATAGAATCATTTCTATTCGAAATGTTGTGAATTTGAGTGGAGTTTTTTTTTCTCTTATTTTACAAAACTTTGATTTGTTGATTAATAATAAATAAATTTTCATTAATTAGAGTAAGAATATCATCTAAAATTATTATATAAATTCTTTTAGTAGTTAGTTTTTATTAATTTCAGAAACAATACTTATCAAGTAAAAAAGTCAAATTATATACATATATATATATATATATATATATAATTTGAAAATAAAAACTACTCAATAACATTGAATCTCATTATAAATTTAACTTAGTCTAAATTTCAAAACATAAATTTAAATAATTTCAAGTTTTTATTAAAAATACAAATATTTAATGAAATATATTTAGATTAGTATTTACATAAGGACAAAACAAAAAATTAATATACTTGTAGTTCATTATAATTTGGTTTGGATTAATTTAAAATATGGAAACAAAAAAAATCAAACCAAATAAAAAAAATTGTCATTTTCTTATTCATGATTTATTCAATCTTCAAATTTATGAATCGATATACATGTTGAAAATTGTTTTGATTGATTTTTTAACACCTCTAAATTGATTATTTTGAATTTATTTTGAACATGGATGCTAATGTAAAGAGGCAAATAAAATTTTCTTGATTAATGAGATGCAAAAGCTTCATATTAAATGCATAATTTTTATTTTAAAGATGCAAACAAAAATCATGCTAATTTGTAAATAATTTTTCTTTATTATTCCTATTTATTTTTAAGACGATAAAATGATCAGTTCTTTAAATGGAAATTCACGCAATATTTTTTTTTTTGTCTTTTTGTTGTTTTTTAGTAGGTTCTTGGTAATATAGTACGTCTTCTTTTCAGTTATGTTTCTTTATTTGGTAGATTTTCTTTATTTTTAATTTTTAAAAATTCAAATTAGGAATAAAGTAGCCATATATGAGTGGGTATTGCTATATAAAGAAAGCGGGTATGTACTATAGAAATACTGAAAAAAATTCCGTTGTTTTTTAATCATTTTTTACTTGTTTATTTTTCTTGCAAAATATCACGCTAACTTGTAAAGGAATATAACGTAATTTTTGATAAAAAAATAAAAAACTAAACATGTGTAGAATGATAAGAGAATACTTTGCAGATAATTTTTTATTTATTTATTTATAGCATGATGTATACGTGAAAAAATGATTATTATATACAATTAAATGATGTACTTATTATGAACATATTCTGTTGTCTGATAAGGTGACGTTCTTGCAGGTATCATTAGCTTTTCTCTGTCTTACGTGGGAGGGAGGGTGAGACACTTCAATAATAAAGTCAGGTGTCGGTTTAGACAATAAATGCTATTAAATATTTGAAAGTCAACCATTTACCTGTATATATTATCTTCTTTTTATAGACAGTATTATGAGCTAATGAGCTTTTGTGGGTCAGCCTTAACTTTGGCCTATAATTAAGTAAATAATGAATTCTTGCAAAATATCACGCTAACTTGTAAAGGAATATAATATAATTTTTGGTAAAATAAAAGCTAAATATGTGTAAAATAATAAAAGAATACTTTGCAGACAATTATTTATTTATTTATTTATTCATTTATAGCATGATATATACGTAAAAAAATGATTATTATATGCAATTAAACGCCATTTCTCTTTATGGATGATATGCTGTGTCAAGATATAACAAGTGTATAGGAGCATAATCTTTTTTAGTTTTAAAATTATATTTTCTTAAAAATCATATTTTTGGGAATTTTATTTTGTGAAAATGTTAAAAATATGTCTAATGTATCTTAAATATTGTATTTGACATAAATATTATTTCTTAAACAGTAATATTTTTTTTTAAAAGTATCCTTTATATATATGTATATATTATATGACTGACTTATAAGTGTTGATGGTTATTTGAAGAAAAATGTAAACCAAGTTTAAATTTGAAAATATTAAGGGATATACTTGTATTTTTATATTATAATAAACATCTTACCTTCATAAAAATTTTAATTCTCACCTCTCTTACAAGAATGATTTATGAGAAAACTTAATTAAGTTAATATTTATAAGAATATTAATTTTTTGGAACTACTTTTTGAAAGCATTCATACTAGACATAAAATTTTAACATTCTTAATTTAAAATTAAAAAAAAACTTAAAAAGAATTCACTTGTGAAAGGCCTTTAAAAATATAGTATCTTTATCTATCTATCTATATATATATATATATTGATGAGTGTTAGACGAAAATTTATCTTTACAACTATATTTATATTAACATATTAATGTATTTATTTTTGTAATAATAAATATTAATGGTAAATGCATTTATCTCTAATTTGTAGTTTTAAATTTTAATATTAATGATTTTTTTAAATTTTATTATTACAAACTGATAATTGATATCTGATTAGTGAAAAATAGTGGAATGAATGAATAAGAATTAATGAGTTTATATATTTGAAAGGTCATACAATAATGAAATGAATAAGAATTAATATGGGTTTATATATTTGAAAGGTGTAACGTTTAAGAGAGTTTTAAATTTTAATATTAATGTTTATTTTAAAATTTATTATTGAAAACTAATATTGATATAATTAATATAGATTTATATATTCGAAAGGTCATACATGTTACATTTTAAAATATAATATAGATAATAAAATAATTTTAATATTGTAAATACAGTTAAATGGTGTATCAGAGCTATATGAATAAACATAAACCATTTAAAAGTGAGAAAAAATTTATATTTTATTTGGTTTATAAGGGAAAGTACAAGTTGTTTGTTCGAAATAATATTCCTTCGAAATGGTAACTACTATTTCAACGCTTTCTGAAATACGACTTGGGAAGGTGAATTGGAGGATAATGGTTCAAATCATTCCATTTGTGATTTTTTTTTCCCGAGTTTAGAAATAAAAGTCAAGTCAATAGCATGGACATGATTTTAGTTGATGAAAATGTGAAGCTGTTAGGTTGCTTTAGTCGAAATGTATAAAAATTTCTAATTATTTAATTTAATTCTTTCATCTTCTCTCATTATTTCAGAATTCAAGGATTCATTGTATTATTAGGAACGATATTATATCACGTTATGAAAAACTACTGCATGAAAAGGCAATGTGTATATCATGAAAAATTATATCATGGAAAATTTTATGTAATTACTCTTGAAAAGAAGTTGTAAATCACTAAAAACAAATGGAAGTTAAATTTGATGGCAACCACCAAAATTTTACAGGTCAAATGTGACAATTTCTCTTTTAACTATTTTGATTTTGTTCCATTTTCAAATATTTTAAGTGGACTGGATGAACTATATCCAATTAGTGAGTTATGTTTTTTCTAATTTTAATCGCTTTTATATTTGGCCATGTATGCCACTTTATTATTAAAAAAGAATCTTTGACGTGTGTTGTAACACCTTAAATTTAATTTTAATTAAATAATAATTTCATAAATTTGAATACTAAAGGTTTCATAAAACATTTCAAAATACGAGAAGGGTTACAAGTTAATATCAATTAACTGCTACTGGACTAGTTCGAATACAACATTTTCAAAAATAAAAAAATCTAAGCCCTATAGCAGTTCATCCATCCCTTCACTAAGCCCAGCGCTGATCGTCTTGATTACCTGAAAAATGAATGTAAGAGTGAGTACTCTACACTACTCAAAACACAGCAAGCATAAAGTCTCACCATGCATATACTTAACACAAGATAAACATAACCAGGATTTTCACACAATTCACTGCAATTCATCACCGATGCACTTATGGCACCAACAGTTATCCACATTCGCGCGCTCATGGCACGTCGCAATACTCACTATGGCACTGTGATCACAGATTTTTACTATGGATGGTCGCCGGTTACCCCTGCCTCACGGATACCACGTGGGCAGTCACGAGTCGCTCAGCAAAGGTAGTGGTCAGAGGTCTAGTCAGGGGTAAGCTTTGTTAAGGGCAACGCTATTTTAGAAAATCCCTCAATGAATTTCCTATAATAGCCTACCAATCCGAGGAAACTGCACACCTCTGTCACATTCATTGGCCTCGGCCACTTAATTACTGCTTCCAATTTTGCAGGGTCTACCATGATTCCTTTCTTCGACACCACATGCCCCAAAAATTGAATCTCCGTCAACCAGAATTCGCACTTAGAAAACTTTGCATACAATTATCTCTCCCTCAAAATTTGTAGAACAATCCTCAAGTGCTCGGCGTGCTCCTCTTGAGTCTTCGAATAAATAAGGATGTCGTCTATAAACACAACCACAAATTTATCCAAAAACTCGTGGAAGATCCTGTTCATGTAGTCCATGAACACTGCAGGCGCGTTGGTCACTCCAAACGGCATCACCAAATACTCATAATGACCATACCGCATCCTAAACGCCGTTTTAGGTATATCTACATCCTTTACTCTGATCTGGTGATACCCCAACCTCAGGTCAATCTTTGAGAACACTGCTACTTCTTTTAATTGGTCTATCAAATCGTCGATTCTTGGAAGTGGATACTTGTTCTTGAGTGTCACCTTATATAGTTGCCAGTAATCCACACACATCATCATGCTTCCATCCTTCTTCTTAACCAGGAGCACTGGCGCTCCCCACGGTGACACACTTGGTCATGCAAACTGCTTCTGCAATAGGTCTTTCACTTGCTTCTTGACCTCTGCCAGTTCCACCGGTGACATTCTATAAGGTGCCACAGAAATTTGGCTTGCTCCCAGAATGAGGTCGATAACAAACTCCATCTCCCTCTCAGGTGGTAGCTCAGAAACATCTTCAGGAAATACCTCTAAGAAATCCCTTACCATTGGAATATACTCCGGCTCCACCACGCTTTCGGCCTTTATTGAAAACATCACCATAAAGGCCTTGGCATTCACCATGTTCTCCCATGTACCTTGACTCATAAATCTTGGGGCCGTGATCATTGCTGCGCCGAAGATCAAGGTCTTCTCTCTACAATCCAGTAGTACATGGTTGGCAGCCAGCCAATCCATTCCCAGAATTACATCCAATTGCGAAAGAGGTAAATAGATCAAGTCCACCTCAAAGTCCCTACGATGTACCATTATCGAACACCCCAGACATACCCATGACGTCACAACCGGCTTACCCGTAGGGGTAGTCACCATAACATTACATGACAATTTAGTTATATACAAATTGTAACTCTTCACACAGTCCACAGACACAAAAGAGTACGTAGCACATGAGTCAAACAGCACATCAAGCAATCTGCCTTTAATTACACATTTACCTCGGATTAGCTCCTCTGACTGTGAAGCCTCTGCCCCACTCATAGCAAAGACTCTCCCGGGGATGCTCGACTTCGGTCCCGTGCTCGGCCCTGTGTTCTCTCTCGACTCAGGCCTCTAAGTCGTACTAGTACTGCCACTCCTCTTGGCGGCCCAGCACACATCAGCAGTGTGCCCTGACTTTCCACAATTATCACATGTTGGCCGTGACTGTGGGCAGTCTCTCACCATGTGTGTCCCTCCACATCTGAAGCACTTGAGCGGGCCTCTAAAAGAGCTTGATCATGAACTACTCCCACTGCTTCTCTCTTGAGCTGAACTCCTTCGAGATTGAGAGCTGTTTGAACCCGAGTATGGTCCCCTTGAGAACCTAGGGGGTCTTCTATCTTGCCTCACTAGGCTGGCTCCCCTAGTGTCCACCGTCTTCCCTCTTAAGTTAGCTTTGAAAATTTTGATCTTGCTTACTAGGGTGCGCAAGTCTGTCAGTTGAAACACACTAACTACAGCTCGGATGTCTAGCCTCAATCCATGCTCAAACTGAGCACACAGATCCTCCTCTCCATCACCATGCTGATAATGAGGCCAGTACTTCATCAGTTCTTGGAACTTAGCTGCATATTCCCCCACAGTCATACTTCCTTGCTTCAGTTCAAGGAACTCCTTAGCCTTCTGCTTCCTCAGATCTCGGGGAAAGTAGTTTCCTAGGAAGATGGTCTTGAATGCTTCCTATTGGATATAGCCATCTTCCTGTGGCAAGGTCTGACCGGCAAACCTCCACCAGTCCTCAGCCTCCCCACACAGCAAGTAGGTGGCATAGGCAACCTTGTTCTCCTCACGGCACCCCATTGCATTGAAGATCTTATCCACATCAGCCACCCATTGTTGAGCTCCTTCAAGGTCAAATCCACCCTTAAAATTTGGAGGATCATGCCTAGTGAAGGCAGATAACCCTCGATACTTCGCCGTCTCTCCGCCTTAATTGTGCACCATGGCTTCCAGAATCTGGGCCATACGTTCCATGACGTCATTGGAGCCTTTAGCTCCTCTACCTCTACCTTTACCTCTACCAACCATAATCTAAGCTACACAATTTAACAGTCACATTCAAGCACATCAGACCAATTAACACATTTATAATTTAGGCAAACAAAACAATCAACACTTATCTAGGATGTTTCAGCTCAATACCCCAATCTGGTTTGGATGAATTGCTCTGATACCAAAATTGTAACACCTTAAATTTAATTTAAATTAAATAATAATTTCGCAAATTTGAATACCAAAGGTTTCATAAAACATTTCAAAATACGAGAAGGGTTACAAGTTAATATCAATTAACTGCTACGGGACTAGTTCGAACACAACATTTTCAAAAATAAAAAAATCTTAAGCCCTATAGCAGTTCATCCATCCCTTCACTGAGCCCGGCGCTGATCGTCTTGATTACCTAAAAAATGAATGTAAGGGTGAGTACTCTACACTACTCAAAACACAACAAGCATAGAGTCTCACCATGCATATACTTAACACAAGATAAACATAAACATGATTTTCACACAATTCACAGCAATTCATCATCGATGCACTTATGGCACCAACAGTTATCTACATTCGCGCGTTCATGGCACGCTGCCACGCTCACTGTGGCACTGTGATCACAGATTTTCACTATGGATGGTCGCCGGTTACTCCCACCTTACGGATACCACGTGGGCAGTCACGGGTCACTCAACAAAGGTAGTGGTCAATGACAACCATGTCGTAATGGTTTCAAACAAAACTAGATTCCTCAAATAAGCATGCAATATAGGGAGTAAACCGAGGTAATCTCACAAGGACACAAATTCATTTTATTTCCAATTTTAAACATGTAACGATGATTAGTTTGTGGGTTTGTGATTTAAAGATGAATTAAGAACGAAAGTAATTTAAATGAAAGTGAAAAATGAAAAATGAAAATGAAAAACCAAAACGAAAATGAATTTAGAATTTTAAAAATGAATCTAAAAATGAATTTGAATTTAATTTTGAAAATGAATCTAAAAACAAATTTGAATTTTTAATTTTGAAAACGAATCTAAAAATAGATCTAAAACGAATTTGAATTTAGATTTTGAAAACAAATCTAAAAATTTGGAAACGAAAATTGAATAACAAGAATGATTTGGAAACGAGATAAATTAAGATGAAAACAACCGAAAATCAAAAACAAAAATCAGTCAAAACTAAAAATTGAAAACAAAAATTAAGAGCAAGAGCAATTGAAACTAACACAAATTAAACCCACGAACCACAGACGCAAACTAGGATTGCTATACCAAATTTATGCAAAACTTAAATGCAATAGTAAACGATTGATCAATATTACATCAAGAATGAAAACCAAATACAACCAAATTATGCATGCACAAATCTTAATCAAGAATTGTGAGAGGGCAAAAAGACAAACTCAGAACGCTCCATCGATCTAGCAATCCATGCTTGAGACGAGATGATTCGCGACACCAAATAAATAAGAACACAGTAGGATCCGAAGAGATACAAGCAAATGGAACGAAATAACTTTACTCTCAAAAATGGGAAAAAAGTCTTTACAAAAAAATGAAATTATTAAAAGGAAATAAAGGTATGAAGAGAGGAGAGAGTGTGAGAGTGTGTTTTTTACCTCTACTTCTGACCCCTATAAATAGTAGTCTTGAATGAAAAGAAAGAATAAAATGGGCCAAGGGTCCACAAGTAAATAAAAGCCCTAAATAAAAACCCTCAACATAAGAGGTATGTTTTGAGTTGAAACTTCAAAAATTAATAGAAAATAGTTCTGAACTTCAAATAGCACGATCCATATGTCCAAATTGAAGCCCAGGAAGTGAGGAATTCATTGCAAAAAAGAATCGGCCAAAAAAGAGGTCTATAGAAAAAGTTATGACCGAAATAGTGGACAAGGGTCAGAATAGTGAAAATATGAAATATAAAGTGAAGGTAGCAAATATTCATGAAAACTCCAATTTAATGCAAGGAATGCAAAAACATGCTATCTAACATAAAAAAAGGAGGAAAGATATTTTAGAAGATGCAATAAGACTATGAATGTGAGTACAAAATATGAATCATCAAATACCCTCACACTTAAGCTTTTGCACTCCCAAGCAAAAGAAAAGGGAAAGACAATAAAACACAACCAAATAAAGCAAAAAAATTTCAATGGATCCTAAAGTAAAGGTGGTGTGAGCAAGAAAGAAAATGAATTCATCAATCAAAGCATGAAAGAATAAAAAACAATCAAGAATATGTTCCAAGCATAGAAGTGTTGTTTGCAATCTAACACTAGCAAGTGCACTAGGATTGCAACAAGTAATGAGTGATTTTTAAGAGCAGGATATCATCTCAACATGGAATTTAGATTTCAAGTATCAATTCACAGACTTATAACCATTTGAGTCATACGAATTTGGAAAAGATGTAACATATAAAAGCAATAAACCAGAACAATTCAAAGAATTAAACTTGCAGTAAAAATAGAGTATAAAAGTTGTGATGAAATGAGATAGGAATGAAGAATAGTTAGGAATTTACTTCACAAGAATATCAATATTAATTCAATTATGCCTCTGAAAATTCAAGAACTTGGTTAATTGACAATCAGTTTCACATATTAATAGCCAAAGGTTAATCCCTTAACTCATTGACCCTAACAAGCAACTAAACCACCCTAATTTCTTAGATGAAGTTCAATTTCAAGTTGTATTAAGACTTAGAACCTTAGGATTGCAGAATTAGGTCTCCTTATCCCTAAGAAATCCCCAAATTCTTATTGCTAACTCAGATCGGAGAAGCAAATCCAACTTCCATTGGTAATTGTTCCTCTTTGATGAATCATACAAATTTCCATTCATAGATTGCAGTAACAGTAGAATTCACAATTCAATTAATCCAAGAACTCAAAATTCAGAAGCAAGAGTCAAATCAATACATCAATTCGAGTTTTATAAACTCGTAACTACAAAGAATTAAGCAAACATTGAAACAAAGGAAGAGGAAGAAGGAGAAGAAGTGCATAGAAGCCATCTCCACGAACTCCAATCCAATGCCTCTTCTTGGAGCTTTGAAATTCGACCCCACTCCTCTCTCTCACTCTCTCCCAACGAGAATCTAACAGAAAAAACAGAAAATGAATGAAAGACCCCGAGTTCTGAGCTTAAGACATGTATTTATAGAAATCTCGATTTTGTGCGTTGTCACTTTTGCTCATAAAAGTGACCACGCAGAGGCTCATTCTATTTTTGGAAGACAGGAACATTCACTTTCGTTGATAAGAGTAGCAACGCAGGAAGTTGAGGAGTGCGCATGATCACTTTTGAGAACAAGAGTGATCACGCGCATCTTGCCTTGATTCACTCCTCTCTGGAACATCCACTTTTGTTGGCAAGAGTGGTAACGCAGAGCTTGTTAAAATTTTGCCTTCTCTAGAACGTTCACTTTCGCCAGTAAGAGTGACCACGCAGAGCTCGCTAAAATTCTTTCTTCTCTGGAACATTCACTTTTGTTGGCGAGAGTGACAACGCACAACTCTGCTGAGATTGAACCTCTTTAGAACGTTCACTTTCAGTGATAATAGTGATCACGCCCACACTCAACTTCTCATTTAAGCTATGAATTATTCACTTTCGCTGGCAAGAATAACCACGCCCAGCTTAAACTCCACGAGCCATGTTCTTTGAGTCCAGACTTGCTACTTTTCTGCTATTTCTCCATTAATCTTCCAGCCTCATGGTCTTTACTTAGAATTTTCTACAAAAACACACTTCAATTATTAATTTTTACACAGAAAATTCATAAATGCTCAACTAACTATGTGTTTGAAGAAATTCTTCAATCATTCTATTTTTATGATTTATTTCTGCTTTTTCCAACACATTTTCCTTATCAAATGGATTAAAACTATAGTAAAATACTAGTAAAAATATGGATTCATCAAGAAGTAAGGAAGAACTTCAATCTAACTATATCATGGATCAAAATTGGCAAAATTTATCTCAAGGGTATGT